GAAAAGGACATTAGGAAAGCAATACCATTTACAATAACCACCCAAAGGATGAACTATCTAGGAATAAATGTAACCAGAGAAACAAAGGACTTATACAAAGAAAACTAGAAAACACTACTCCAAGAAACCAAGAGACCTACAAAAATGGAAGAATGGAATAGCCAGAAATATCACCATAGAAAGCTTGTAAGTCTGTATTCTGCCTATAACTGACTGGAATACCTAAAATGGGGCTACAACATGCCCAGTGAAGGAGGCTTCCTGTGGAGCCTCTGCATTACATAAGACCATAGGTGGCATCCTGAACAGCATCCAGAATCTTCAGAGGAGGGAAATTTCTACTTAAAAGGACAAGCAGACCAGCATGGAGCAGCTGGAAGAACATAAGATACTTCTCGAAAGAAAGACTGACAGGAAAAATACAAAACAATATAGGCAGACTGGCTGTTGCTCACCCAGGAGACATCAAAGTAAGTGGTCGGGTCCCCTCAGAGCAAACCTCCTTCCTACACAAAGACTAAATGGGAATACACGCTCTGATTGGTAACCACATTCATCACCGATAGGAGGAAGTGAGGGAAAAACAGCAATGAAGCTGTGAGCTAAGCCCTACAACATTCAAAAGACTCCTGTGAACCATGGTGGAGACCTGGTTGGCCAGCAGTGTGGCAAGACCTGGGGACTCTTGGGCCCAGAGTCACTGACATAGTCACAGACGACTAGAGTGGAGAATGAAGCATCCAGCTGATAAGAAGAGAGGACATATGCACAAGAACACCCACACTTACAGATAATACCCACTTGACCTGGCTTCAATGACTGATCAGAGCGTAACAAGAAGAAGAGGAAAAAAAAAAAAAGAGTAATCTTATACAGTTTGATGAACTTGACCTACACCTATAGATACAGTAGCTCAAAAGAGGGAACAAATCTTTACATCAAGGATCATTCCCACCCTCTCCATACACAGAGTAGACAGGGATGGGCAACTTGGACATTGGCTACCCAAAATGGGAGGCTTCAAAGGCAAGACGTGACTGGCTTTACAAGATTTCAAGAGGGAATCTAGATCCAGAGGGCATGGAGGAAGGTAGAATTTCCAGAGTAGTATCCAATCCATCTAGGCATGGCTGATGAAAGGAAATATGGATAGGTCTCGTGATTAAATAGTGAATAACTGTTATCAGGAATGATTGTGAGGGTTGGAAATGTAAAAGTAGGCCTTTTGTAGCAAGGAGGGGGGTGATTAACTTTTCAGTCTAGGAGCGGAGGTCCCTGGGACCATCAAGGGAGAAGAGCAGAGAGCAGGACCCTACCCAGAGAAGCAGTGATGGCAGAGATGGAGGCAGAGACAATGACGTGGAGAGATGGAGAGGCTGGGGACTCTAGACCCAGAGAGGGAGAGGGGCTGTGTGCTGACTACTGGAAGGTTGGGGAGCAGGCTTGCAGGGTATGCCCTGTGGTTGGTTGACGACCCTGTATAGGGTTTCCGCGGAGCCATTGGTGAGCTTTATCAGCCAACTTGCAGTTCAAAGGGCTTTGCAGTCTGGCACATTAACCAAGAGATGCAAATCAAAACAACAATGAGAAATCATCTCACAGCAGCAGTAACAGCGAAGTTGAAAAAAGCAGAGGACGACAAATGCTGGTGAGGGTGTGGAGAGACTGGGACCCTCCTACATTGCTGGTGGGATTGCAAAATGGTCCAACCACTCTAGAAAACATTGTGGCTCTTCCTCAGAAAGTTTGAAATAGAAATTCTTATGATTCAGCAATTCCTCTACTTGGTATATATCCACAAAAAATACCAGCTACACCGTACACAGAGAGGGCAGGGATGGGTAACTTGGACATTGGCTACCCAGAAGGGGGGGGGAGGAGGGAGGAGGGATTACAGAGACAAGAAGTGACTGGCTTACAAGCTTTCAAGAGGGAACCTAGATCCAGAGGGCATGGAGGAAGATAGAATCTCCACTGAGTAGTATCCAATCTGTCTACGTGAGGCTGATGAAAGGAGATGCAGATAGGTTTCTTGTGATACAATAGTGAATAATTGTTATCAGGACTGACTGTGAGGGTTGGAAATGTAAAGGTAGATGTTTTGTAGCAAAAGGAGGAGAGTGATTGACTTTGCAGTCTAGGAGCGGAGGTCCCTGGGACCATCAAGGGAGAAGAGCAAGAGCGGGACCCTACCCAGAGAAGCAGTGACGCCAGAGATGATGATGTGGAGTGATGGAGCAGCTGGGGAGTCTAGACCCAGAGAGAAAGAGGGGCTGTGTGCTGATGACTGGGGGGTTGAGGGGCAGGCTTGCAGGGTGTACCCTTTGGTTGGTTGATGATGCATGGAGGGGACTGTAACCAAGGCAAGGAAACAATATATGATAGGATGAATGTAAAGCTAATGTTCTCCCATGTAAACTATAACATAATTCACAATAAAACATTAAAAAAAAGAAAGAAACACGAGCCAGAACACGAGTAGCTATATGCACCCCAATGTTTAGTGCAGCACTATTCACAAAAGCAAAAAGATGGAGACTGCCTGAGTGCCCATCAATGGAAGAGTAGACGGGCACTTAGAGAGTACAAACTTAAGTACAGACACACAATGGAATATTGTGTCTAACTTGAAGAGTAATGACGAAGCAGCAAAACACCTCACAACATAGATGAACCTGGAGGACATTATGCTGAGTGAAATTAGTCAGTCACAAAAGGACAAATATTGCATAAGACCATTATTACAAAAGCTTAAGAAAAGATTTCCATACTAAAAGAAAAATTATTTCATGGTTAGCAGGATTGGGAGGGAGAGGACAGTAGCTCACAGGTTAGGGGACAGACACGTCGGAGCTTGGGTGATGGAGAGGGTTGGAAGAACAAGGAAGAGGGAAAGACTTAGGGATCTCTGTATGGACTAAATGGAATAGAGGTAAATAGTGATGTATACTCAACCTTGGGAAAACAGTGATATAGGGACTGAGGCCTAGTGTGAATGGGTAAAACATGAATAATGTTAAGGTGCTTCACTAGACAGTTTTCCTTGTCTTTTACTGAAAAATAGACATTTAAGTGGGATAGAAAGGAGTATCGGGAAATATGATTACAGAAAGCTTGAAAGAAAGACCAGTAGGAAAAGAATTAAAAAACAAGCCAGCTGGTATTTTCAATAACCTCCTATGCATGAGAAAGTTGGACAGTGTTTAACGAACAACCGTATTAGAACTGATGCATTATAGTGTTAGAGAATATTGAAAGTGCCATAGGCTGCCAAAAGAACAAACAGATCTGTGTTGGAAGTGCGGCCAGAGTGCTCCTTGGAGGCCAGGATGGCCAAACTTCGCCTCTCATACTTGGGGCATATTGTCAGGAGGGACCAGTCCCTGGAGAAAGATAACATGTTTGGTAAGGTGGAAGATCAGAGAAAAAGAGGAAGACCCCCAACGAGATGGATTGGCCAGGTGGTAGCATCGATGGACTCAAGAGTGGCAACAATAGTGAGGTTGGTCCATGATAGGGCAGTTTTGTTCTGCTGTGCCCATCGGTTCGCTATGAGGCAGTATCGACTTGATGGCACCTAACAACAACAACTGAGTTTCTGGCAGTGTTGTGGTTGCGAGTCAGGTTGCTAACCTCAAGGTCAGCAGTTCAAAACTACCAGCTGTTCTGCGTAAGAAAGATGAGGCTTTCTGTTCTCGTAAAGATTTACCGCCTCGGAAATTGTGTACAGGGTTGCTGTGAGTTGGAACCGACTCCACGGCACGTAACCACCACTACACCACTAACTGAGCTTCCATCGTGTCCAGGCTCTGCAATGGCTGTGTTCACAAGGTGGAGCCAGCATCTGCAGCTTTAGCTCGTGACTTGGCACACAATCTTTGATGGTCATGATGACCAAGACTAGTAAGTACTGTGACTAAGCATAGACTTTTGTGTGCGTGTATGACTATGTAAAGCAGCTAGTTCAAGTTGAGGTTGTATGTGGGGTACCACTGTCCAGGATCACAGACTGAATCAAGTATATACACATAAGCACTGCTTCTTAAACTACCATAAACCATATCAAAGGTGGGCACTTCTGTGGGACGATTTTGGGTTAAAATTTCTGTGCAGTTTCTTCATCGGTAAACCAGTTCTGATGATAGTAGTCAGGGTGAAGAGTTATATGTGATGTAAAATGAAGTGATAATACAGTAAACATTCAAGTATAATTTTGCTTACATTAAAATACTAATTTGTAGTTACAAAAACCTAAAGGAAAAAAAAAAGCAACGTGCCAAGAATGGTGGTATTCTAAGTAATTTATTTTACCTATTATTTTTATTTAAAATAAAATTTTCTGCCATGAGAACATTCTGTTTTGTACCAAAATACTAAAACTTGATTTAATTCATGAAAAATCACACTCTTTAAAACATATGTTGATCAACTTTTCTAATGAAGAGAATTTTTATATAAATTAACTGTAAGTAAATAATATTTATCAAAATTCATATTCTAGAGCAGAAAGAAAACTTTTTGTTCTTAACAGACAATAAAAAGTAGAAATGAATTCATATGATTAGGCAATGGCAATTTTCACATTCATACATTTGATAAGATTTTCCTTAATATAAATAATGATCTTTGTGCAAATATCCTAGGCGATTGAGGGCTTTCTCAGTGCTTGCAGTTACAGGGTCCCTCCACTGTTCAGGCTAATATATGCATTCTGAAGGATAGGGGACACTGAAGACATTCATTATCTTTTACATTCATAGGATCAATACAAAATTAATTTCACATGATGTTCCCAGGTACTTTACGTTCACGTGATGCTTCTGCATTTCATTAGCTAATATTTCATTAGTTAACCAGATAAGGCTTTTTCATATGCGTGAATGTCACTGACAGTCAGGGGAAAAATAAGATTTCCTGCATTCCTTATACTTATAGTTTATCAGCAACATATCTTTACAAGTTTGAGTAAAGATAACGGATGAAAGCTAAATGTTATTTACATGTATATTGCTTTAATCCAGTATTCCTATCTGGGTGTACTGCAAATGGGGCTCTGAAGACGTTCCCGCATTCCTTATATTTGTAAGTTTTCTTTCCACTGTGAGAATTTACATGTCTAGTGAGGTGTGAGGAATAATTAAAGGCTTTCCCACATTCCTTACATTCATAAGGTCTTTCTCCAGTGTGAGCCCTTATATGTGCAGTGAGGTGTGAGGAACGACCAAATCTTTTCCCACATTCCTTACATTCATAAGGCTTATCTCCCTTGTGAATATTTGTATGCACAGTGAGGGATGAGGCATGTCTAAAGGCTTTCCCACATTCCATACATTCAAAAGGCATCTCTCCAGTGTGAGTTCTTGTGTGTATAGTGAGGTATGTGGACCGACTAAAGGCTTTCCCACATTGCTCACATTCATAAGGCTTCTTTCCATTGTGACAACTTTTATGTCTAGCAAGGCATGAGGACCGACTAAAGGCTTTCCCACATTCCTTACATTCATATGGTTTCTCTCCACTATGAGTTCTTACATGTACACTGAGATAGGATAAATGACCAAAGGTTTTCCCACATTCCTTACATTTATAAGGCTTCTCTCCGCTGTGAGAACTTATATGTCTTGTTAAATTTGAAAAACGACTAAAGGACTTCCCACATTCCTTACATTCAAAAGGTCGCTCTCCGCTATGACAAAGTACATGTCTAGTGAGGTTTGAAAAACGAGTAAAGGATTTCCCACATTCCTTACATTCATAAGGCCATTTTCTACTGTGCGTTTTTATATGTGTACTGAGGTCTAAGGAACATGTAAAGTTTTCCCCACATTCTGTACACTCATAAGACCTCTTTTCAGAGTGAGCTCTTAAATGCTTAGTGAGAGGTAAGGAACTACGGCGTTTCACAGAATTCTCACATTTACAAAGTTTCTTTCCAGTAAGAGTTCTTATACAAGGTTTTCGATGAAAGGGACAACTGCAGGCTTCTCCACATTCCTTAGAATGATGAGTATGAGTGCTGACATTATTCTTTAATGTATGATCCAGGGAGGTGTTTTCATCATCATGACAATGGGAAGACTTTACTCCAGTTGAAGTTCTTCTGAGTCTAGTAAGATGTGCAATCGAGCTACAAGTTGTTTCACGCTGATTATCTTCTTTATTTTTCTTTTCTTTACCTTCTTTAGGTTCACGGAAGCAATCTAGCATATATTTTCTATCAAAAATAGGCAGCAGACGGTAGAATTAACTTTGATACCAGTTCACAATTACCATACACAGTACGTCCGTATTTTCTGAGTTGTGCCAAGTTACACAGTATGAATTAGCTCACACAAGGTGATGTCATCAACTGTCACAGTCCTTATTTCTACTAATTGTGTACAAATAACATAGGAGGGTAAGTCATAGAAACTTTTCAAAATGTAAAGCGATTGTTTCTAGACATATCCTCCATGATTATGGTATTTCCATCTCTCTAACCCTGTCCTGAAAATTCTGCACTCTTCAATAAACCACATCAAAACGGCAGTTCGGGCATTCTTGAGGAACTCAAATGGTATTCCTTTTCAACGTGCTTTTGAATTTTGTAAACAAAGGGAACTGTGAAGGGGCAAGATCAAAGTTGTAGGGTGAATAGCTAAGGCTTCACAGCAAAAATTCTCCCAAGAATTATCAGGTGCATTGTCATCATGGAAATATATTCCTCTGCCCAGCTCTCCGGGCCTGTTTCTCACCAATGCAGTTTTCAATCTTATTCATCCTTTCTCATAAGAGGCTCCTGTGTCAGTTCAGTGTCCCCATGATAATCAGACAATTATTAAGACTGCCACTTTGGAATCCCCAAAAAAGAGTGACCAAAACCTTTTTGCACTGAATTTATCTAGCCTAACAGATGCCCTTAGAAGCCATTGTTTTGATTGCAGTCCCCTTTTATTTTTTTTGAAGGCACCATATGAGAACAAGACAAGGGCATGATTAAGAGCACTTGTCTGCAGCCAGCTACTGATCACAGACAGAGACATGTTCAAACACAGTATGTCTGGAATAAACCCATGTATCTATGAACTTGAACCTAGCAGGAATACTTTTTGACTCACACTTGTCTTTCTCAAATAATATAAAAGGATATAATTCACATTTAGGACAATATTATGAAGATTATGTAAATACATCATTTTAGAGCGAATTTTACACACAGAGAGAAATAGCGTGACACCTGAATACTCGTTGCTGATGTCCTGCTCACCGTAATACGAATGTTACTCACCTCACACACTGTCTCTGGTCATTGTTCTCATCTTCAACGTCACTGAATTGAAAAAATTCTAGCACGGAGGACCAGAAGTCCTTATTTACAGAAAACTTCTCTCTATAATCAGCCTGTTGAAAAACTGACAAAATAATTTTAAGTTTCACAATATGAAATAAAACAGTAAGAAAATTTTATGTGAAACAAGGCAGGCATGAAGAAAAAGTTTGTGTTATTTGGCTGTTCCATTACTTTGGCAACGAGTTAAGACATTTATTAAGCAATATTTCCATGAGCAGTGTTAAAATACCTTCTTCCTTACTAAACATGCCCCACACAGCAGCTGGGAAAAGCCTGTTTCATGACTAGAAGGCAAAGCCGGAGAACTGAAATGATTCACAACTGCTCACTGTTCCTGAGGGCTGGAAAGAACCAGCTTTTTCCAAAGAGGACAATCACAGTGGGTTCTTAGAGGAGTGTGGCTCTGCAACTGTGGTTTCCAAATAGAGTCTTAGTGTGGAGCTGTAAGATAAAAGCACTGACCTTTGAACCACAAGGTCAGTGCTCACCAGCTGCTCCTTGGAAACCCTATACAGGGTCTCTATGAGTTGGAACTGACTCAACAGTACTAACAACAGTTACATCTGAGAGAATGCCGACCATGGGTACAAAAAGCCTTGAATAAACATGTATGTACATTTTATCTATTTATTTGAGATTTGTCTCTTGTTTATATGTTTACTTTGAATGTTAATGCAACCACAGACTTGAATGAGGGCAGCATGACTATCTGTACAACAAAGATGATCTCCTGGCCCTTATATCACCAGTAGGCCGGAGACCTAATAACACTTTTAGCAAAGAGAGCTCCATTTGAACAAGTAATACAAATGCTTTAGGATGGTGTCCATGTGGCACCATTAAAATAGGTTCTTGAGTGTGAAATACACAGGCATTGGAACTATTAAATTGTTCTATTACGTGGTTCAGGGAATCAAAGCTTACGTAATTGGACTCTTCAGTATCTTAAAAGGAGTTCAGAAATACTATGAAGTTCTAGATACTATGAAGAATACTCATCCATAAGATCTTATTGATTAAATGAGAGTTGTCAATAGATTCTCAACAAAGATCACAAAGTTAGGGAAGATTTTTGCCACAGTTCAAACACAAAAATGTGAATAAATATGAGAAACCAAAGAAAAAACTGTTAAGAAAAAGTAAACAACATTCTCACCGCCACAGTCAGAAAGGCAAATTGATATACAATTGGCTAGTTGCTGTTGTTAAGTGCTGTTGAGTTGATTCTAATCTATACTAACCCTGTAGAGGGTTTCGACCTTTGCAGTCCAAACCAACTTTGCAGTCCAGTGCATTAACCCACAGTGCCACACCAGGGCTAGTGGTGAATACTATTTAAAGGTGAAGCAAAAGAAAATCGATGGAGGAACGTAGAATCCCCACTGAATAGTTTTCATCTTGTCTAGACGGGTCTGATGAAAAGAGATGGGATAAGATTCTTATAGTAATTGCTACCATGGCTAATTGCGACTGTCACAACTGTAAAGGTAGAAGTTCTATAACAAAAAGGGGAGTGATTAATCTTACAGTCCAGGAACAGAGGAAGAGAGAACCCTAGGACCATCAAGGGAGAAGTGTACAAGCAGAATGCAGGACCTTATCCAGAGAAGCAGTGACACCAGAGATGGAGGCAGAGATGGGGACATGGAGAGAGGAAGCAACTAAGGACTCTAGACTCATGGGAAGAGAGGCTGTGTGCTGGCGGCCAGGAGGCAGGCTTGCAGATAGTGTCCTTCAGTTGTTTAAATGAGTATAATCCTGAGTGTTTCTGTGTACAACCCCCACAAAAACAAACAAACAAACAAAAAAACAGAAATAGAAGCAAATACTGTTGAATGATGATGCACTGAGGAGATTGTAATCATTGCAATGAAACAATGAGTGTAAAACTGATGCTATCACTCAATTCACAATAAAAACTTAAAAAGAAAATAAAAATCAAAGCCATAAAGGCTAAATAAGCAGAAGCTCTCAGTAAGAGACCAGAGAAAAGAAACAAAGCTTTTCTTCCATCAGAAGAAAAGACATATAAACATCTGTGAAATTTCTACTGAAACTAAAATTGATGTGACTGCATCAAGGAAAAGATCACGAAAGTAAAGGCAAAACTGGGAGTGCGTACAACTGAGGAACTTAACGTAGGATGGAAACAAAAAGATACAGAAGGAAGAGGGGAAAAAAAGTAATATACAAAATGAGGCTCCTGAATTGGACTTCTTTAAGCTACAGGATTTGGGGTGTATAGACATTACCTGCCTTATCTATGAGAAAGGAAAATTTGATCTTTTTTTTTTTCTAGAATAGTTTTTGGTTAAAAAAAAAAATTTATATTTAAGAGATTTTTAAATTCATTTTATATTTTTAAGTTTGTACTAGAAACCAGTATAAATGTCTGTGTGTATTTTGAACCTATACTATTCCAGGCAGAATTTGCCAAGGTATGGTTTTAGAAGCAATTCTTTAAGCTGTTTTATATAAAAATTTTATAAATATACTATTGCTTAAAAAGAATGAAATGATATCATGACAACTGAGCGAGATGTTGATATAAGTAGGGTGTAAGAAGGAGAATCAAACAGAAAGGTACTGGAAATATTAGATGTGTGTAAAAGTCATATTTAACAAGGAAACGGGAGGTTTTCTTCCCCCACAGAGAAGGCATGAGAGGACTGATAATAAAGAAAAAGCCAACTCAAGCATGTCTTGGGGTTCAGCACCTTCAAACCAAAGGAAATTTTTTTGAGTTAATTTATTCAAATGCAATTTTGTCCCAGCAAGACTGGTGCATCAAATGATTCTTGTCTTCCTTTATACTGCAGCTGCCTGATACTGTAGCTCTGAATGAGTCCTACTTCCACTCTACAAAATTCATGCTTTTTAGGAAGAAAAATTAATGTGGCTGACATGGTGCTCGTGAGGAAAAGCAGATCATGAGGGAAGGTAGAGAAACACATTTTCCTTACATTTTGCCAATTCCTTACATTTAGTCCCCATTCAGTATCTTAAGCACAAAAATAGGCTATGTTTACAGTAGTGAAGTGCAAATTTTAAAGAAAAGCAATTACAAAAAATAAAAAAAGGGAAAAACAGCAAATGTTTTCCATGGTACTCTCATAGACCTTGTTTGTAAGTGCAAGACAGGAAAACAAACTCTGCAAAATGTTTTTGCCCTGTGTGCTGGTCATTAACCCACACATCGGGCTGCAGCTTCTGCTGCCATGGGACACACAGTCTACTAACCCCCTTCCCCATGTCAATCAAGGCAGTCCAGTCCTTTCAGCCTGGGGCTTTTTCAGACCATACAATCTTTTCATGGGGGGGGGCGGGGGAGGACGGACGGGGAGTAGAGTGGGATGAGGGAGGGGAAGGAAAAATGGGAGAAAAAGAAAAGGGGAACAACACCAAGCACAACAATGACCTTTGTCAATTTGCGCAGTAGTTACTCTAAAAATGCTCAACTGGGTAAATGTGTACACCTAACTTTGAGCTCTGGTAGCATAGTGGTTACGAATCGGGCTGTGAACCTTAAGGTCAGCGGTTCAAAACTACCAGCCGCTTCGCGGGAGAAAGATGAGGCTTTCTACTCCCGTAAGGATTTACACCCTCGGAAACCCTGTACAGGGTCGCTATGGGTCGGAACCGACTCAACAGCACTTAACAACAACAACAACTTTGAGCTGGCATGGGTTTGGGCAATTATGAGTGTGTTAGAAATGCACGCTGCACATGCAAGTCTTTAAGCCGTTTGTAAACTTTTATAATTTCCTTGTTATACAGTAAAGTTACCAATTTGCAGCTTAAGTTTTTAATTTCAGCTTTTAACAGTTTCAACTTAAAAAGACAGTGGGAAAGTCAATTTAAATTCTATAAAATAAAATAAAAACAGTGCATTTAAATTCTTCATAACACCAGTTTCCAAATGGCGCTATTTCTATAAGGAAATTAAATAATTTAAAACTAATTCATTAAAGTTATACAATGCAAGCAAAGACAAAAGGTTGGATCTCTAGGGTGGACAAAATGTAATAAACAGTAAACTCCAGTGAGGTTTCAAGTATAAATCTGCTTACTTGAAACTTAGCCTTGCAGTTAATACTCATACTTAAAACACAAACAGAGCTTTAAGGTTTTTAAGCAGAACACAAATAATCAATACCATACCTGGTTATTTCCTTTCATGGAGAAGCCACTACATTTTATGCTACATGAGGGTAGTGGAAATACCTATCATGTTTGCCAATTTATTGTTCAACCTAAATCCTCTAAGACGGCCAAAGAGAGTAATATATTGACAATCAATAAAGAAGAAAATAAGAAAAATAAAAACATGCTAACCTGAGTTCAGGTTCTCAAAGGTTTCCATCATCACATCTTTGTAGAGCTTCTTCTGAGAATCGTCCAGCAAAGCCCATTCTTCCGGGGTGAAGTTCACGGTCACATCCTCAAGAGTGAGTGAGTCCTAAAATATCACAGATTCTGGATTAACAAGATTCCATCTTCCCCAACGTGGGCAACAATGTCTGAGGCTGACAAATAGGGAACTGAGAATTTATACGAGATTATAAAAGTTCCGTGTTCTAGTCTGGTCTTCTGCCTTCACAGCCTGATTTACTGCCTCATTACTAGCATCTTGTCTCCTGGACTGAATAATCTATGTGACACACTGAAGTTCTCTCTCCAGTTTAACCCTCAGCAAATCCAGTCTTTGTGATTGCTGTTGCTTGCTGTCAAGTCAGTTCCAACTCATAGAGACCAGAGGGTTTCCGAGAGCAGCTGAGGGGTTTGAACTGCCAACCTTGCAGTTAGCAATCCAGTGTTGATCCTACAATGACACACCAGGGTCCCATTCCAGTCTTCCTTCTCTCTATATTTACAGTCCAATAAATCCAGAAGAGAGTGGATAATTACTATACAAATCAAAGACCTATTCAATATTCAGATGATTCATTTTCAAAACACTTTTTATTGTGACTTGAGTGAAGGTTAGCATACAAGATCATCAGTTCTACGTTCACCCAGTCATACATTTTGTTTCATCGAAATGATTACTATCCCCTCCCTGTAACAAGTTACCCTGCTTCTTCCCTGTGACTTCCCTTTGAGATCTTATTTTTCACATATCAAACAAAGCAAAAATATTTGATGTACACATACAAAACAAAAAAATATTTATTCATTTAAATGTCCAATGGGCACATTTTGCAAGCCAGCCTCCTGCCCGCTGGCACACAGCCTTTTTCTCAGCCTGTGGTCCTAGAGGCCACAGCTGCTCTACCTCGCCATGCCATCACCTCTGCCACCATCTCTGTCTATTGTCGCTGCTTTTCTAGGTAGGGCCTCATGCTCCACTCACGCTTCTCCTTCTTCATGGTCCTGAGATCCTGTTCCTGAAATTAAAGAGTAACTGCTCCCCACTTTTAATTACACATCTTCTACAATTACAGTTCTAACAATCAAAATTAATCCTGCTAACAATTATTCACAATTGAATCATAAAATCCTATCTCCATCACCCTCCACCCCTTTTCACAGATCCATCTGGAAAAGAGGAAAACTATTCATTGGGGATTCTACCTTACTCCCCTCATTCTGAAACTTAGCACACTCATGAAAGCTTGAAAGCTAGCCACTTTGTGGCTTTATAGGCCCCTATTTGTGATAGCCCATGTCTAAGTTGCCCGTCCCGATCAACTCAGTGCACTGAGAAAACATGCTTGATCCATGATATGAAGAATCTTTCCATTTCAGTTGGAATTTCGAGCAACTGTATCCATAAGCAAAGATACAGTTCATCAAACTGTAGCAATTTACAGTTGCTTATGACATTTTATCTTCATCTGGTTGAGTTCTGCTCATCTAGTCAGTCTAGCTAGGTCAAATGGGTACTAGCTGCAAGTTTGGGAGTTCACACACACATCCCTGCACTTCAGACTAGATGGCCACTTCATTCTCAGTTCTAGCCACTCCAGTGGCTAGGTCAGTACCCATGTACTCAGGAGTTCACACAGCTCCCTAAACTTCAGACCAGCCAGCCCTTCCTCTTCTCACTCTCATCTCAAGGTCAAGGGGTGTCAAATAGAACATAGCCAAACTCAGCCCATGTCTTCATTGTAGCATTTCTCCCACTTTCACTCATAAGTAGACCAGGGTGGTTAACAGCAAGCATAATAGATTGTTTGTGGGTTCCCTTTGAGTTTCAGTCTCAGAAGGGGGTTTTCCCTGATGGGCTGACTTTTCTTGCCCTGACACCTCCAAAGCAAACAACTTGCTTGATATTCTAACAGCCAAATAGTCTGCTGGTCTTTATTTTAATAAGAATCTTTGCTTCTCTCAGCCGTTCTGGGTTGGTCTACATCTTTTCAAGTGGCAATGTCCCACTTCAAAAGGTTCTGGGGGGGTACTCAGGATTCTACCTAAGGCCCCAGACTCTACAAAGACTTAACAAAAATGCTATTTCCCTGGGCAAATTTGAATTCCCCTTTTAGCTAATCCAATCAGTTATAGGATGAAGATGGGCTTACAAGCCTTGTGTAATCATAATTCTCATATTCATTTCTATCACACTTAAAGGTCTATTTTACAGTAGTAGGCAGGGGGAACCAATATCCACAACAGTCAAGCACCCAAACATTTTTTTCTCTTCTTTATCCTTCAGACTAGGTCTCAATCACTGTATTACCAAACACTTCTGCTGTTCCAATGTTGTCTCTATATCACTATTGACCTCTATCCCATTTAGCCCAGGCATAGCTAACTCTTCCCGTATCTTCATTGTTCAACTGCCACCCTACAGCTTCTTGTGTACTGGCTCCTTGTATATTTCCCTCCCTATCACCAGAGCCAACATGTGTCTACACACTAACTTGTGAATTACTCTTCCTTGGCAACCGTCAAATGTTTCTTTTTATATGGAAAATCTTTTCTTAAGCTTTTATAATAATGGTCCCAAGCAAAATTTGTCCTTTTGTGTTTGACTAATGAACTCTTGGAAACCCTACACAGGGTCTTGTGCGCTGGAACCAACCCAACAGCACTTAACAACAATTTCACTCAGCATAATACCCTCAAGGTTCATCCATGTTTTGAGGTGTTTTAAAGATTCATAGTTATTCTTCAAGGTTGCATTGCATTCCATTATGTGTAAGTACCAAAGTTTGTTTATCCATTCTTCCACTGATGGGCACTTAGGCTGTCTCCATCTCTTTGCTATTATGAATAGTGCTGTGATAAACAATGATGTGCATATATCTAATCGTGTTCTGGCTCGTATTTCTTGTGGATACATACCAAGTAAAGAAATTTCTGGATCATAAGGTATTTCTATTTCCAGCTTTCTGAAGAAGTGCCATACTGTTTTCCAGAGTTGTTGAACCATTTTACAGTCCCACCAGCAATGGAGGTGGGTCCCATCTCTTTAATGGCTAATGATCATGAACATTTCTTCTTATGTTTGTTGGCTGCCTGAATCTCTTCCTTGGTAAAGTGTTCATGTCTTATGCCCATTTTTTATTTGGGTTGCTTGTCTTTTTCTAGAGGTGTTGTATTTTCCTAAAATTTTTAGAGATTAGGCCCTTGTCAGAGATGCCATTGAAAAAAAAATTTTTTTCCCAGTCTGTGTGCTCCCTTTTTACTTTTTTCGTGAAATCTTTTTATGCATATAAGTTTCTAATTATTAGTATACCATAGTCATCTATTCTGTCTTCTGTTGCTTGTGTTTTTGCAATGTTTGATAGTGCATAGGTACCATGTATTGTTGTTGTTAACTTCTGTCGAGTTGGTTGCAACTCTGGGCAACCATGTATAGAGATTCCGAGGAGTTGCTGGTGAGCTTGAACTGCCAACCTTGAGGTTCAAACTGACCTTGCAGTCCAGTGCATGCCATATATTGTTGTTGTTAAGTACTGTCAAGTTGATTCTGACTCATAGCAACCCTGTATAGGGTTTCCACAGAAGCAGCAACGTCACAGACGGAGGCAGAGATGTGAACATGGAGAGAGGGAACAGCTAAGGACTCCAGATTCATGGGATGAGAGGGACTCAGAGATGGAGGCCAGGAAGCAGACTTGCAGAATGTGCCTTTTGGTGGTATACATTATTGTATATGCCTGAGTGTTTAAAAAAAAAAGGGGAAAAAAAGCACTAAAGCGAATAGAGACCCCGCTGAATAGTTTTCAACTTGTCTAAACAGGTCTGGTAAAAAGAGATGGAGATAAGATTCTTATGATTCAATAGTGAATACCTGTCATCATGACTAATTGCGACTGTCACAATTGTAAATGTACAAGTTTGTAACAAAAACGGAGGAGCAGTTAATCTTACAGTCCATAAACAGAGGACCCTAGGACCATCACAAGGGAGAAGAGCACAAGTGGAATGCAGGACTTTATCCAGAAAAGCAGCGACACCAGAGATGGAGGCAGAGATGGGGACATGGAGAGAGGGAGCATCTGAGGACTCTAGATTCATGGAAAGAGAGGGATTGAGAACGGGTAGCCAGGAGGCAAACTTGCAGAATGTTCGTTTTGATGGTGTAAATTACTATATATGTCTGAGTGTTTTTTTAAAAAAAAGAGCTAAAATGACTAGAAATAGTATTAACTGACGGTACATGGAGGGGATTATAATCATTGTAATGAAACAAAGTATAGGATTTGTTGAATGTAAAACTGATGATCTACCCTGTAAACTTTCACTCAATTCAAAATAAAAACTTTAAAAATAAATAAATAAAATGAATAAAGAGAAATACAGTTAACTGAAATCACTCTGCTAAGGAAAAAACGGGCATTTTGGGACTCTCGCCCATCGGACAGCGGGTCGTTCTGGGGAATGCAGAGTTTAGTGGGTGGGGCTAAAGCCAGCCCTTTCGGAAAGCGGTGTTTCCAGCAGGAAGCAAAAAAAAGGGGGTGGGGGGGTGGCTTGAAAAAACAAAGCCACAAGAAGTGACATAACTCTCTCCCCCAAAATCTCCCTGCCCTGCCCTGCCCTGCCCTGGCTTAAGATCTCAGCGCGATCATCAGGCAGGACAGTTTACCCATGGCACAGAACAAATAATCCAAGAATCTGGGTTATATAAAGAAGAACATGGCATTAGAATTGGAGGAAGACTAATTAACAACCTGCAACATGCAGATGATACAACCTTGCTTGCTGAAAGTGAAGAAAACTTAAAACATATACTGTATGAAGCTCAAAGAGCACAGCCTTCGGTATGGATTACATCTCAATATAAAGAAAACAAAAATCCTCACCACTGGACCAATAAACAACATTCTTATCAACGGAGAAAAGAGTGAAGTTGTCAAGGACTTTATTCTTCTTGGATCAACTATCAACACTCATAGAAGCAGCAGTCAAGAAATCAAAGGATGTATTGCATTAGGCAAATCTGCTGCACAAGACCTTTTGAAAGTGTTGAAGAGCAAAGATATCAGCTTGAGGACTAAGGTGTACCTGACC